CTGCGATCCCCCGCGATCCCCCCCCCCGAAATGACCTCTGGGGATTGCCCAGTTTTGCTGGCTTATGCCCGCCACCAGCCAGCTGGCTGGTGGGAGGAAATTCTGCCCAACAGCAACTTTGTGTGACATGACTGTTACCTTGAAGTGAAATAGTCATGTTGGTGGCATCAGGGGGCAGCAACACTGGTTTGGGGCAAAACTGTATGGTTTTAAGCCAATTTTACCATAGAATTTCCCAAAAAAACCAGAGTGTCACCCTTGATGTGCCTATCTCACTTCTGGATGACGTAGGCATGGCACGCAATGTCACTTCCGGTGACATCGACACATCGGGGGCAATGCTTCCCCCCCCCATATCCCTGCCGGCATCTCCAGTGGACCTGGCAACCCTAAAATGCAGTGATGTCACATCTGGCACACACCAGAAATGATGTCATCATGTCCCCAGTGACGTAGGACACTCTGGGATTTGGGCAAAAACTTGCCGTTAAAAAAAAAATGGCTTCTACCATCGCGTTTTTGACCAAATAACTAGAGCATTGCCACATCACCAACACGAGGTCATCACTTCCGGTGGGTGCCAGATGTCACATGGCTACATCGCCAGAAGCGCTGACCTAGGCCTCTCCTAGCTGCCAGTAAGTCCCACCCCACCCACCCTCTGGTTGCTAGGAGCAGGGGTCATTTCCTGCAGGAGCGCACAGGAGCGGAGCTCCGGCAGTAAAGAGCCCAGGGGGCGGGCACATGCAACAAGCCCCACCCCCTGCTCCCAGCAGCCCTCAGTCAGAGCAAGAAGCAGCCAGGTATGCTGCAGAGCCCCCCCCCCGCCCCCTGGTCCAAAACAGTCCAGTGGCACCTTTAAGACCAAGTTTTATTCAGGTACAAGCTCTCCCTCCTCTGCGAGGACAGATCTGCATGGTCACACACACCCCAATAGCTAGCAATCCCAAGCAGTCCAGTGGAGCCTGAGCGGTGGGTGTTGCCTTCTGACACACTTCCGGTGATGTCAGGGGGTGTGGCATATGCAAATAAGTTATGCTAATGAGCTCCTGCACCTCTTTTTCTACGAAATGACCCCTGGCTAGGAGGGACTTGAATATGTACCCAATGCTCAAGCCAGACAGTTGCTCAGTACTTCTGTTAGCTACACCCCCTTTTGTTGTCCTGGACTTGCCAACAAGCTTAGGGAGGCTTGTTAAAACTCTCTTGCTTCGACAGTTGCTCCTGTGCTGGGTGTGTTTGTTCCATCACCTTGATTTCAAGGTTCCGTAATTAAAAGTGGTCCTCTTCTTTGTCTCTCCATATCTCTTCACTATGGCCCTCATTCTTGGTTAAACAGGCATTAATTCCTTCTGCAGAAAGCCGTTTGACTCCCTCTTTATCTGAAAGCTCTCCAGTCACATTACAGGATCTGTTTTTAAAGTGTGATGGATGGGAACAGAAAGCGTAGGGGCCAGAAGAGCGGGATGGGAATGGATGGGAATCTGATCCCTGGCTGGTTACCGCTGCCCTGAGTGCCTGTTAAACATCTCCTGATATTTATCTAATGGCTGCAGTTCCATGGGAGACGGCGGCCCACGTCCATTAAGGCCCTTGAAAGCTCCGGTCCTTAACCAGCATTTGATCTTCAAGCCCCCCCCCCCTTCTAGCTCCAATCGCTGCACTCGCACTCATTCCCAGTTTGATTCTACCGACTGCAGATGGGAGTTTGATTCTACCGACTGCAGATGGGAAGGAGTCAGGCGCGAGGAACTCTGAGACAGGGCAGTGCTGTTTGGGGGAGTTAATGCTAATGCTGCAGTCTGTGGCCCATTCTGCATCTAGCATTCGCTCTGCTGTTTTACCAAACCCATGCTGGAACAGAAATCCCCCTCTACATTGCATGCCGCTTTCACTTTCTTTGCTTGTCAGATTTTATGGCAGTGTCCAGACTGCATGCCGCTTTTGTTGGAAAACTTGGTGAAAATACTTAGATATTCAGAGTTTGCAATGGATCTTTGCTTCACTGGAGAGGAGGCATTTCTTTCTGTGTAAAAATCTTTATTTCTAAGGGAAAGGGTACACAGGAAAAGCTGCAAAATAATGAAGACTTAAGGCGACATCTCTACAGCTACAGGACAAACCGACCACACGGTCTCTCAACAACAACAGCAACTACAACAATGGAGATTCTTCTTCTTCTTTTTGACCCCTAGAAGGAAATCACCTGAATGCATTAACCAATGATTGTTAATAAATAGGCTTCACTTTCACGGGCTTTGTTTCCATTGGCTCAGAGCCAGGTTTCCCTTCCAGGTCAGTTTAAACAACAGCACACAAGGGAAGCAGATTAACCCTGTAATGACTGAATTAGACCTTGCAACACACACATATTTCCAACAGCTTTCACTTCCTTTGATCTCTTGGTTTTATGGTACTGTCTGCATAGATTTATGGCCATTTTATGGCCATTGGGGGATGACTCTACAGTCAGTATGGCGTTGACCCCGGGGTATCTGAATGTGGTTTTGAGCCACATCTTTTTCTGCTCCAGTGTGGGTTTGGTAAAACAACGGAGCAAATGCTAGATGCAGAAAAGGCCTGTGAGACCAATAAGACAGCAATACAGGGCAGGGCAGGGTTGCCAGCCAATGACTGGTGGTGGTTGGAGATCTCCTGGGATTACAACAGATCTCCAGGCGATAGAGATCAGTTTGCATGGAGAAAATGGCTGCTTTGGACGGTGGGCTCTATGGCATTGAGCTCCACTGAAGTCCCTCCCCTCCCCAAATCCCGCCTTCCTCAGGTTCCACACATTTCCCCAAATCTCCAGGTATTTCCCAAAGAGTAATTAAGATGTGGAATTCGCTGCTGCAGGAAGTGGTGGAGGGTACAAGCATAGACAGTTTTAAGAGGGGAATGGATAAACATATGGAGCAGAGGTCCATCAGTGGCTATTTGGCCACAAGGTATAGAGAGAACACTCTGTCTTGGTGCTTGGGGGGCAATAGTGGGAGGGCTTCTGGAGTTATGGCCCCGCTTGGTGGACCTCCCAGTGGTCGCTGGTTTTTGGCCACTGTGTGACACAGAGTGTTGGGCTGGATGGGCCACTGGCCTGATTCAACATGGCACCTCTTATGTTCTTAAAGATGCTCTGCAGGGGTCATTTCGTAGAAAAAGAGCTAGGGGAACTCATTAGCATAACTCATTAGCATATGCCACACCCCCTGACATCAGGGGCCCGGCGGTGGACCTGCAAGGTCAGCAGGAGTGCGAGGACGCCCCACCAAGTCCCTCCCTGGCCCCAGGCAGGCGGGGGTGGGGAGAGGCGGGGAGGAAGCAACTTACCCTCCCTCTTCTCCTGCCTCCTCCTGGCTGAATGAGGCCTGGAAGTGGGGCGGCCGGAAGCAGGGGGCGGGGATTCGTCGTGTGCCCCGCCCCCCTGCACCTCACCCGGGGGAACTGTGTTCCCCCGCGTTCCCCCCAAAATGACCTCTGATGCTCTGTATTCTTGGTGCTTGGGGGGGGGCAACAGTGGGAGGGCTTCTGGAGTTTTGGCCCTGCTTTTGGACCTCCTGATGGCACTTGGGTTTTGGCCACTGTGGGACACAGAGTGTTGGACTGGATGGGCCACTGGGTTTTGGCCACTGGGCCACTGGGTTTTGGCCACTGGGCCACAGTGGGTTTTGGCCACTGTGTGACATAGAGTGTTGGACTGGATGGGCCACTGGCCTGATCCAACATGGCTTCTCTGTATACTTGGTGCTTGGGGGGCAACAGTGGGAGAACGTTTGAAGTTCTGGCCTTGCTGGTGGGACCTCCTGCTGGTACCTGGGTTTTGGCCACTCTGTGACATAGAGTGTTGGACTGGATGGGCCACTGGCCTGATCCAACATGGCTTCCCTATATTCTTGGTGCTTGGGGGGGGGCAATAGTGGCTTTTGGAGTTCTGGCCCTGCTGGTAGGACCTCCTGATGGCACCTCGGTTTTGGCCACTCTGTGACGCAGAGTG